GTGGGTTATAAAATCCTGGGTTCTACCATCTCAGGCACAATGCTTGAATAAACCGAAGGAACTCACAGCTCTCTCCTTTCTTGTTTCAAGGTAAGAAACATTTATACTTTATTCTTGTTGATGTCCAGCTTGCATTTCCTTGTAATTATTGTCTAGAAAATGTTAGAGTTAAGTTTGAAACATTCCTACGATATTGAAGCACTTTTTGAAATACCTTCCATTGTAAATGCTGGTTCTAGACATATCCAGGGATATTTATTTATGCACATTGCGTCGTGGGCTCCTCAAGTTTTATGTCTTTCATGTACAAACGAATGCTTCTGTTCAATGTTTCTACACTCATGTGTATATCCCCAGTGTTTGTCTAGTTTTATTCATTTGCATGTTAGATCTGTATATGCAGGTTAGATTCTCGTTCATTAGCCTAGATTCCAGTAGCCTAGTTACAAAAGCAGTTGCGAGAGTTTATACAATCATATCCAGCAAGGACGAAGTTGTATGTAGGTCAGTTATTCCGTATTTTACGATAGTCCGCCGATCAAATGCTATGGGTGTTGATTTACCTCAGATACGCGCTCATATAATAGGTATAACAGCCAGCATTTGTATTTTGATATTTCACCAACATGATAAGTATTTGAATAATGATATTAAACGTTCCGTTCCGCGTGCAGTTGTATACCGTACAGAACAGTTTATACACGAATCACATTACCGTAATCAGTAGAAAATGGTATTGTCTACTCTTCATATTATCAGAAAATATACATTCAAATCCGTGAAGTTTGCAATTACAGTTTTCGTTCCGTATTTGTTTAGCTCCGTAATTTAAGAAATACGCGTAGCCAATGACAACAGCGCCGTCCTAGTACATTATTACATATTCATTTAACTAAGTTACTGTTTTCTTGTTTTGTAAAGCACAAAATTGTACCTTCCGACATCCCTTGTTTAAGTGTAGCACTACAGCATTACATATATTCTAGGTCATGGCTTAATTCCGTATATGTCGAAATTGCACGTTGCCTATAGCAACATCACCGTCGAAATACATTTACCGTAGTTTCCCAAATAATTCTTTAATGCAATAGGCACTACATACCGTGATTGTCATAAACCCTTACCGTAGTTAACACATTAGGCGCGACATACCGTAATAGTCATTAATCCGTACAGCAGTGAACTAGGCACTACATGCTGTAAGTGAATTGCTGCACTCCGTACTTGTCCTCTGCAATTGTTGTTGATGGTTAATTTATGCGTGAGATCATGTTATTATCAGTACCGTAGTTACTCAAGGAAATGTTGTATTATTTGTATTATGTTTCTGTAAGCAGTTACCTTACATACCCTGTTACACCACACATTGCCTTTACTACCTGACTTGGACTTAAACTGTATGAGGATGTCATTGATTATTATTTCTATTATTGTATGTCATTATTATGTATAAATTGATATATTTTGAATGTCATGCAAGAGACACTTGCTTGAATAAACCCAAGGAACTCACAGCTCTCTCCTTTCTTGTTTCAAGGCTCGCTTCCTGTACCTAATTCCCCAAATCAAGGCCTGACAGCACCTTTAGCACATCAAACGCTAAAGGTCGTCGTAACAGACACAAGCCAAGCTGTCTTAATTGGTGGAGGCGTTCGATCCTCGATGCCTGGAGCCAACCCTGAAAACTACAAGAAGAGACTGGGAGGAGTCCTAGCAACACCACCTCCACAGTTCAACACAACACTACACCATCACCCCCTTTATCAACGTACGAGAGAAGGTCAGACACCACATCACAGTCCCGTGCCAATTCGTCTCAATGCACCCAGCAACATCAAACAACAAAGGCCCAAGTACACCTTTTGAAATACAATGGACAACAGGATGCTTAAAGTTGGTGGGCAGATTTTGCCAATTTTAACATCCTCCATGGACATTCAAACTACATTTCCTGTAGAATTCTGCCATTCTACTTGGACGGCGCTGCAACGCTATGGTTGTTGTTGATGGTTAATTTATGCGTGAGATCATGTTATTTATCAGTACCGTAGTTACTGAAGGAAATGTTTTTTGTTCCCTCACAATTGCCCTCATAGAAACACAATATGCAGCTACTGCGGTATAACTGGTCACCATACTAAAGTTTGCATTCGTGCATATTATGCTCAAGATAGGTAATCACAAAAGCTATGCACGCCTAATTCTCATAGGTCACATCTATCTCCCTCAAATCTTTCATGTCTCCCATAACCTATACCACTCTCTCATCTTAGGCATTGACTTTCTTGAGTCCAACACAGTCACCATAGACCTGATCTCCAAGTGCTTACACATACATGAAGGTATGTAGCAGTGTCACCCGAGCCGGCAGGCGAGGTTATACGGTCTGAAGTACGCCTATTTGTGGCAGTGTTACCAGAACCGGCAGGCGAGGTAATACGGTCTGATGTACGCCTCTTTGTAGCAGTGTCACCATAACCGGTAGGCGAGGTAATACGGTCTGATGTACGCCTCTTTGTAGCAGTGTCACCCGAGCTGCTAGGCGAGGTAATACGGTCTGAAGTACGCCTATTTGTGGCAGTGTTACCCGAGCCGGTAGGCTCTTTGTAGCAGTGTTACCCGAGCCGGTAGGCAGTGAACAACTTGTTTCAGTCGAGCGGTATTTAATTGTGATTTAAATCTTAGAATTATTAAATTATTAAGTTTAAATCAAAGTAATTGAGAGATTCTTTTGGGTTTATCATGGTTTTAGTTGATTCAGGGAAATAGCGTTAACAGCTCCATCGGGCAATAAATTCCATGACATATATAAATGATTGAGAATATCTTTGCGTTCTACCCATTAGGGTTCTGCAGTTAATATTTTGAATGGAAGTTGAAATGATTATGTCCAATTTTCAAAACAAACAACCTCTACTATAAGTTTCAATCCAAGTGGAGGAGTTATCTCCAAATATCAAAACAAACAATGTATAATCACAAGATCCCCGATTCACTTGGCCTCTAATCACTATAGTTAGGTCCTGAGAGGCTCCCTTATAGGTTAATTCAAAAGTAGCCAAACTGGGAGTAATCAGCTATACAGGTACAGTACATGATTAAGTGTAGGGGTGCTCCATTATATGTGTATGTGCATGAGTAGTCAAACTGGGAGTAGTCATAATGGGAAGATACCATGCAGATGGTTTACTCTCACTGGGGCTTCCTGCGAGACCAAAATGGACACGCAGAGGTGTGCCAGGCCGACTTGCCGGTGTCCACGGACTAATTAACGCCACTTAGCATTGTTTTGACAGTATGGGGTCGTCTCACCATTTCCGTGAATTTACCTCACCACTTACAGGATACATTGTGTTTGAGTTCACCACTTTAGTTTAAATAAACATGTTCACCATTTAGTGAATGTACTCTGGAAAGTAGTAAACATTTTGGTAGTGAACAAGGACTGACACATTTACTAAACCATGTATTCGCAATCATGGCTCACGCACAGATTGATCTTAATTTCATCCCGCCCCACCGTAGAGGAAGAATATTAGTGCATCGAGGTTACATGCTCAAGATCAATAAGAAGGCACATTCATGGCAATCGTGGGAATGAATGTTAAAGATATGTCCTCCAGATTTGAAATTGGCAAGGTTAAAATGTGCGCCAGGACGACTTGCGAGAAAGGGCTAAAGTCGAGAACCCGATCGTGGGCCTGGCAGTACCTCCAGTACAAACTACAGTCAGGCCACGTTAATCCGAACACATCCGTTTTTCATCAAAGCGTTCGGTAGTGAAACGTACGGACTACTGAAACGTACGGACTACCGACACCAACCATTATGTACAACGCTATTCCTTTACAGTATTCTCTAACAAACATGTTTTGAAACTCAATTCTCGCAATATTAAAAGTTATCTGAAGCATATATAAAGCATCTAAGCATTTTGCGAGGATTGAATTTCAAAATTTGCTTGCAAGAAAAATAGTGGGGAATGGTTTGTAGAGTAGAATCTCATGATTGTAGAATGCGATATATAATTGTAAATGATCCCACAAGTGTTGTCCCAATGCTGACTTCAGTCTCTGAATCTCTGAGCTCACTGGGTCTCCGTCCAGTTTATGTTGAGTTTATGTTGAGTTATGTGTTTATAAATACAAAAACATCTAGTTTTATTTATTTTTCTCAAAATTCATAAGTACATAATTGGATGATATGTGAAAAGCATGCGGATAATTTTTTTTACCGATGAAAATTTGTGTGTGCAAAATCTGCATGTCTCATATTTGAAGATTTCATGAATGTTTCTGTATGGAAATGTGCTTCACAAACGCTGAGTTGATTCTTCATCGGTGTATGTGAAAAGGTCAGTCAGCTTTGTTCGTCCTTGTACAAAAATCGGTAAGCATGTTAACAAAAGTCATGGAACCACATGTTTGGAAGGACTAAAATCTTAAATGAATATTTCGCTCTTCCAGCGCATATCTATAAGTTGAATTTGTTTCTATCAAATGAAACGCAGATGAGAACATACTTGTCGATGAACTTCTCAGAGCGTGGCGGATATTATAAGTTGTTCACTGGTCACGAGGGGGACATGGGTTGATGTACCCTCTATGAGAGGAACATAAACAAACATAGAGTTTACATCACCCCACGGGCCCCGAGGGACCAGTGAACAATGTATTGATCTTACCGAACACCTCAATGTTAATTTTGAACTGTTTGAAGCACGGGTATCGGATCATAATAAGGAATACAAGAGTTAAGCAATTAGCTAATATTGCCGTAAGACGACAAGATAATCAAATTTAAAGTTATCTCCTTTCTGTCGATTTGCATTCGCAAAACATCGGTAATTTCCGTACATTATACGTGACTTAATTATTCAAGATAAAAAATTACTAACACGAAGTACCAAATGAATTCCCACAGTTCGACATTCCCAGAGGGTAAATGGCAAATGTTACTCGCTTGTAAGCAGGGTACAATGAAAATAACAAAAAACAACATTTATGTGTGAGGTAAGATAATGTAGTTTAACTAACATGACTCCGTGGTAGATATAAAAAGTCAAGGTCATACTCCGACAAAAGCAGCCATGTTGACTACGGTATAAAGTATACCTCACACCAATGTTATTTGGTATAACACAAGCTTTTCTACATTGCAGTCAGTTTATTTCAGTACAAAACAACTTATATACTGTAATAACAACACGAACGAGGATAATGTAACTACATGGAATACAATAATTGTGAAGAATATTAGGAATTATTGGATTTCTATTTCAGATAAAGAATAAATCTGTTCAAAACAGAATTAGCAGAAACATCATTATCCACCATGTTGTGAAGACTGTATTATGTGTCTATGAATTGGAGTGCATGTTTATGCATTTGCCTACAGCTGGGGCCAGGTGCTCAGGTGCTGACAATAGTGAAAAGTCATATTGTCTTCTGTGGATCGACTGGCTCTGAAACAAACACAATGTTGCCATGAGCGACCCTTGCATATTGTATTAATGCAGACCAAGTAACCAGAGTATATTATTCATCACGCAATCGACACGACGAAAGGTTACAACATCAAAATATTAAACTATTATCGAGAAGCTCAACTCAAATTCTTTCAAACTCGTAATGATATTTTATGACAAATGTCATCCGTTTCCAAACAGGTAATGTGCAATGACTTGTGTGTAAGACGTACAGCTGACGAGTTCCAGACGGATTGATTGTGATCTCATAGTAACCGATAACGTCACAATGGTCAACAAGCAATCTGTCATTCCATTGTAGCAATACCTCATTGGATATATATCTTGATCTCACACTATTTGGTGATTGAAAACAACACTGCCAGGAATGAAATATGTTAGAACTTGCACGATGTATAATTTTGTAGCACGTTTCTATAAACTTTATGTTTCTAGTTTCATTATATATATATATATGTAGAGGAGACACCGACAGAAATATCAAAACCATGTGGTCACTTGTGGCTATTCCAGCTGTACAATGCGTGAGACTTGCAACTGACAGATAGATGTACCCAAAGGTATTTGCTTTGTAGTGTAAGCCACACGTCTACTGAATGCAAGCAACAATAATGCAATAAATACAATGGGGAGAGTTTTGTGGATATACAGCTGTTTTATTCTTGATGTGAGTGAGCTTTCACCGTAACTACAAAAACCGTAATGAAGCAATTGGATGTCATTTCATTGTAGCAATATCATCTTGGTGATAAATCTTGATCTCATACCATTTGGATGTTTAACGGTGTTTGTAGCTACAGAGAAACGTCACTTATATTTATAATAAAGAAGTTGTTCATCACAGATATTTTGAAATGCTACTCAAAGAAGTTAATAGTGGAATACCAGACGACCGCACGGCTTGTATTAAAGCCTGAGGTGAAACAACAAACAATTTGTCAGTAACGTCATGAGGTTTACTTACAGAAAATCCATTTTCCTGTGGCCCCCCATCCAGTGGCGACGCTCACGTATCTGATCTGTGTTATTGATTGGTCTGTCCACGACAGGAAGGTACGTCTCCCGACCACGCTGCCAGAACCTACGGCGATCCTTCTACCACTGAAGCTTATCCAGAATGGCTGGTACTTGCTTCCAGAAAGTGGCGTGTGGTCCACAGAAGCAAGATGTGGTCCTTGCTTCCTGTTTCTGATGACGGACATGGTGTTTCGCCAGCCTCCTATGACGATTTCGATCATGCTGTGATCGTAGTTGTCTCTGTTGCTAAGCAACGCGATGTGAGCGTCATTAGTGGTCTTTACCCAGAAGGTGAAGGATGTTTGTCCGTTGAGTTGAAAACCGAGATTCTCGAGGGAATGGTAGTGGTAGTCGTCACCCGTTTCCAGACAAGCTGATGGAACGTTGGGCTCTGTAACATGAACATAGCAACACAAAATCTATTGGCAGCACCATGCAGCAGGGAAAGTAGGGTCAGGACAGGTGTAGGGCTGTTATGTGCAATAGAACTTTTTAAATGATTTTAGTCAAACACAAATTCAACCCTTATTCAAAAACACGTTGAGTGAGTGAGTTTTAATTGCTTGTAGTTTACGAGTAGTTCACTTGTCTTCTTGGAGTAGCATTGGATACTTTCGCTAGTTCTTCGTAAACTTGTGTAAGCGCCTACAATCAGCGTCTACCACTTCGTGAAGTACTGTAAGCTTTCACGCATAACTCGCTCAGTCACCCAGAGACTGCTAGTTTACTAATGACGGTCACACCAAACTACTTACCAAACCTCCACACACCCGTTGACCCCCATCCAGTCGACACAGCGATGTACCTGACGGGGTGAGGGGAGGGGTCTGTCCACGACATGAACCTCCCAGCTCCAACAGCCGTGCCAGTTCCAACAGAGATCTCACCGCTATCCCAAGAAATCCAGAAATCACGGAACCGAGTTGCACTCAGAGGTTGGTGGCGAGCTGTCACCCTGATGTCATGCCCCATGCCTGTTCTGATCACTGATTGGGTGTTTCTCCATCCGCCAATCACAATCTCGTATATGTTCCGATTGGTTACTCCATCATCCTGTAGCAGGGCCACGTGAGCATCGTTTGATGCACGGACCTTGGAGAAAACAATTGACCTTTACTCCCTATGATCTATTCAATATCTCACTGTTAAATAATGATATTAAGGAGGTTGGTTTCCGTTGACGATGTAATTACTAGCCATTTACAAACAAACTGTGTTAACCCATGTGGATATACCAAGGATGATGACTTTATTCCTGTTAAGCTGGGAATCTAATGTGGTTTGTTTGGTTGGTTCGTTTCTTGTAGTATTCCAGCTATTTGATGGCGGTCTGTAAATAATCGAGTCTGGACAAGACAAACAAGTGATCAAACAAATAAGACTCACCTTGAACGTAAAGGATGTGGCTTCAGGAGCCAAATCCACACCCAGACTGTGAAGAGACTGATATTGGTAAACTGTATCCGTCGTGAGTGAGACATCCAAAGGTGGAGCTGAAAATGTTGGAAAAAAAATGCATTTTGTACTCCAAGATAAACCATATACATATATTGTAACTAAAGTTTTCCGTTGGACTTTTGTTCTGTAACTGAACGTTGTAAATCTGACATGCTTGGTTTATATCAGAGTGAAACAGATTGAAGTTTGAGAAACTGCAGTCAAACAATTATGTATTGCTTGTCATACACACAGACGCTGCTGTTTACTAGTTACAGTAAAGCGAAGCTACTAACCAAACCGCCACAGACCCGTTGACCCCCATCCAGTAGACACAGCGATGTACCTGACGGGGTGAGGGGAGGGGTCTGTCCACGACATGAACCCCCCAGCGCCAACAGCCGTCCCAGTTCCAACAGAGATCACACCGCTATCCCAAGAAATCCAGAAATCACGGAACTGAGTTGCACTCAGTGGTCGGTGTTGAGCTGTCACCCTGTTGGCGTGTTGCATGCCTGTTCTGACCACTGATTGGGTGTTACCCCATCCACCAATCACAATCTCGTATATGTTCCGATTGGTTACTCCATCTTCCTGTAGCAGGGCCACGTGAGCATCGTTTGATGCACGGACCTTGGAGAAAACAACTGACCTTCAACACCATTACTATGTACAATATTTGTAATCATCATTTTCTCACCTGTAAATAACATTGAGTGAGTGAGTATGGTTTTACGCCACTTTTAGCTATATTCCAGCAATATCAGTACGGGGGACACCAGAAATGGGTTTCACATATTGTACACATGTGGAGAACAACCCCCATCGCCCGTAAATAACACTCAAAGGCGGATCTCGGAGAAAACGATTCCGGCTTACAACTCCGAATTCACAGAACAAGTTATTTTTTTCCCAATATATTGTCTTCTCATAATCACAATGAATGAACTAGTTAGACTTTCCTTTTATACAGGAAACCAAAAGAATACGTATAAGCAAGCATGACGTCAGTTCCTGATTTACCTTGAACTTGAACGACGTGGCTCCAGGCGTTAACTCCACACCCTGTTGGTGAAGGGACTGGTAGTTGTAGGTTGTGGTCGTCTCAAGTTCCACGTAGGCTGAACCACATTCAGTGTAGAAAAAAAACGATCATAAACGTAATATCCTTGAATATTTTAGTTAAAGGAACTGCAGCAGTATGTGATACATGGCTATCTCATATGTTAAGCTTTTCACTTGATAAACTGTGTTGCATGTCATGAGTTAATGAAATAACCATGAGCAGTTCCGTCACACTGGGAAGGTTGACTGGAACCTACAAGCGTTGACATATCCTGAGGCATCACAATACCCATGTCGCATAAAAACGGGTGCAATAAAGTACAATGTCTCATACAGTCCCTTTGACTTTGTCCTGTTCCGAGGGGAGATTAGACATTCTATAACCCAGCAACAGTCAGGCGGCACAGGGCGTTGTTTTGCCAGTGCTTTTATAAACTAATTTTTACAAACTACGTCAAAACGTATTATGGTGATGAACTTCATTATATATTTGTTTGTTCTCACTTATAAATGCAAGAGTTAAAATTTCATATTTAAAAACATTTTTTTCTACCAGACCAAGTTTTCATAAAATGTATACATTATTCAATAAGAATAAGATAGGTATTCTTAGAAAACTCGCTCTATTCTGTAATATCATTATAAATGTTTTTTAAGAAACGTCGGACAGAATACTCCATCTAAATATTTCCATATGTATTATATATTGTAACACATACGTAACCTCATATGCCGCTGCCTACGGCCTGAGTTGAAAATATAGTTCAGTTGAGTTCTGGTGGTGAATTCTAAAGGTCGCCTGTCAAGATTACAGGAGAATCTCTGTGGGTAAGAAGGGTTATCTTAAATACTCACGCGGGCACCCGTCGGCCCCAAATGACAGCAGTCACAAGTGTTGTCAACAACTGCATCTTCCCCATCTTCCCTAGTTCTACAACCAGTAACCAGTACATGTTGTTGAGTGTCATGATCACTGAGACAATGAGGTACAATAACGTTTCATATTGTGTCTAAGGAATGCTGATATCAAATTTCGCCACACGAGTAAATTCTGTTATCTGATATCCTCCGTCGCCTACTCTCTCCCAGACCCCGGTAACGTAAGCTGACTTGCAAATGCTAGCACAATACCATTAATTACAAAGAAACTGAAGTTATGACGAATTTTCGAACTCACAGGGACCACCAATATAAACTCGCTATAAAAGCAGTTTGTTATATGCATTTCGACTGCACATATCCTGAACAAGTCATGTGAGCAGGTTATGTGGCTACAAAAATCACAAAAATATGCAATTTGTTCATTTACAATGTACAAAGATGAAGACGGATTCATGTGTAAAATAATCCGTACAACGATGTTCGAAAGTGCAATCTTAACCGGGCGACATACATTCTTTGACAAGTTAACCCTATCAGTTAGTAATAATTATATGAATAACTCGGTTGTAGAGAGTGATCAGTCCTATAACTGGAGCACAATTATGACTCTCCATATCGTTCAGCTGTGTTGAAAGCGCAGGTAAACACGTGAATAACAGCTCGGTAAAATGTGTTACCTTCAAATACATCTTTTTGTCCAAGTATGAGTCCTTGATAAATAGCGTTATCAGGAAAGTTAAGTGTGACATTTCCAACTTTTAAAACAGGAACACGAAACCCTTTAGCATTTCCACTATTTTGACAGGACTGATGGACATCTATGTACAGGGATTGGACTGCCGGAACACATATGTCGTTAGCAGGTCTCTGAGCCATAGCTTATAATTCGTCTAACTGTCACCCTTTGAACTGGAACAAAAAACTATTATATAGTAAACCCAATGTCCATTTTATACCTACTCGTAGATAGTAACTAATTTCTACTTGTATGTCTCCTCGTATATCATTAGCATAATTGCTACTTGTATATAGTAAGCTATCTCCTAGTCGTATGCCTAATCGAATGCCTACTAGAATAAAGTAAGCCTCTACGTGTATGTCTACATCGAATAAAGTAACCATCAACGTGTATGCATACTCAAATAAAGTAACCCTCTACGTGTATGCCTGCATGGAATAAATTTACCCTCAACTTGTATGCATACTCATATAAAGTAACCCTCTACGTGTATGCCTACTCGTTTGTAGTAACCTCTACGTGTATGCATACTCGAATAAAGTAACCCTCTACGTGTGTATGCCTTCTCGTATACAGTAACCCTCTACGTATATGCCTACTCGTATGGAGTAACGCTCTACGTGTATGCCTACTCGAATATAAAAAAAACAACAACTTTCGAGGCAGGCACGTGTACAAATCCCACCTTCACATTTAGGAGTGTTTACTCTAGATTTTGAAAGGTTATTATTACTGTTAAACATCCAATATTCCTTGAGAATATATACCAGGATATCTGTATTGCCAATGGCGCTCTACATGACAGTGTTCAACGTATCCGGGTTCAATAAAAAACAACAAAACAGCCCTATATTGAGAAACAAGACATTATTTCTGAAAATGTGGTGATGCTCATAACTTACTGCCGAATGTGTGTATAGAGGGACCTGCTGATAGCCGGTATTGGGTAACTTCGGCACCGGCAGGAGGTACAAATGTTGTTTTGACAGTCATACCTTTGTTCACACAATCCTTTCCATAAATATGTCCACCTGCTGTTTGCTTTGTAATTGTCATAATGCCAGATTTGTACGAAAATGTTTGCAGTTTCTGCTCCACTAAATGTATACTAGCGACATACAGAAACTGTGCATTGTCAAAATATTATCCCAGTTGATAAGTACGATAACAATGTCAAAGGTACATATACACTGTAATGGAGGGATCATGAGACCATAACAAGTCGGGAGAATTTCAAATGAAAAGTCATTCACAATGACGTCACGAGTCCACAAGCGGGACAGGGGTCAAACGACCAGCTCAATAAAGGGTATGTCCACCATCGGCATTGAGGAGAGCAGTGCATCGACGACGCATAGAGCCTATCAAACGTGCAAGGAAGGCATGTGGCATGTCACGCTTGATTCTCTCAAGTTCTGTTGCAAGGTCAAGGACGTTATCTGGCGGATGAAGAAGACGGCGTAGACGTCGATCCATCTCGTCCCAAACATGCTCTATCGGGGAGAGAACCGGTGAATTTGCAGGCCAAGGCAGTAAGTCAACGTTGTGGTGTTGCAAGAAATCCATAGCAACCCTTGCCGTATGAGGGCGGGCATTGTCCTGTTGGAATGTTAACCCAGGGCCATGATGTTGCAGAAAAGGAATTGCCACAGGTCGAAGAATCTGATCCCTGTAGCCCACACCAGTTAAGTTGCCCGGAACAATCACCAAAGGAGTTAATTGGCGTGCTGTTATTCCACCCCAAATCATCACGCAACCACCACCAAAGCGATTCCTCTCCAAGACACAGGCCTGTGCATAACGTTCTCCCACGCGTCTATAGGCACGTTGACGTCCATCACTATGGGAAATGTTAAACCTGGACTCATCTGTAAAAACAACATTGCTCCACCAAAACAAGGGTCTGCGGACATTATTTCGGCTCTACATTCGGCTAGCTTGTCGTTGTGTCAGGATAGGCCGTATGGCGGGACGTCGTGGTCTGATCCCGTGATGACGTAAACGTTGTCGAACTGTGTTGGGGTGGATACGGCGAAGTCCTGGGATGGTTCGGGCAGTCATCACTGCAGTCTGAAACCTGAGGCGAAGATGGGTCACTCTTATCCATCTGCCCTGTCTTGGCGTTGTTACACGTGGACGTCCAGAACGTGGCCGATCGATAACGTCATTTGTGTTCTGGTAGCGTCTCACCAGTGCAGAAATGGTGTTCCGGTGACAGTGGAAATGTGCAGCCACTTGTCGTTGAGACATTCCCCCACGGACCATCCCAATGGCCTCATGACGTTGTGCAGATGTGAGCCTTGGCATGCTATGCGCTTCAATAGCCGTTTAATTTTTTGAACGATCGCAAAGGCAGGGGTTGAGCTTTCCAAAGTGACAGTATTGTGTGGCATTCATTTGCTCTGTTTCTCTTTCCCGGAATGCACGTGCAACAACATATTGCACGTCTCAAGGACGAATCCACTGACGTCACGGAACGTGGCACGTGCATGCATGATGGATACATGTCACTAATCTCAGAGTTTAAATCCTTATGTGTCTACACAGGTTTGATAAATTTAGATTTTAAATTTTTGTATGCACAGTTTCTTTATGTGCCTAGGATATATACAAAGGGTACACTATATACACAAGCTCTTGAACGCCTGGTTTTGTTGCAAGTGAAAACCTCAAACACTATTAAACATGCGGCTGACCTATATTTTGTTTACAAATATATCACATAAATTGCTATAAAATATTAAGTGAGTGAGTGAGCGAGTTTAGTTTTACGCCGCACTCAGCAATATTCCAGCTATATGGCGACGGTCTGTAAATAATCGAGTTTGGACCAGACAATCTAGTGATCGACAGCAACGATCTGCGTAATTGGGAACAGATGACATATGTCAACCAAGTCAGCTCGCCTGACCACCCGACCCCACAAACTATTAACCTTATCGCGTCCATGCCGAGTAATGTTTCAGACCGAGGAAAATACCAGCAGCACCTGATATGTGTGATATGTCCGGATGGCCGAATTCCAGGAAGAATTTAAAGCGGGGACCGAGGCTAGTATGGCATATGTTGGTCCCTGTAACAGATACTGGCAGTCAGGAGTTACAGTGCAGCCAGTGAGGTGATTGTCTTCGTGTTTTGAAAGAACATGAACACTGGTTGAAAGAAAGCAAAAAGGCAAAAGGCTTCCTTGTTAAGTCGTCGAAGTCGGAAATGAGTCTGGCAAAACGGAGGATGAGCCATATATAGAGAGTGAGACAGACTGACTTGTGTTGGCTTGCGTTGATCTGTCACTGTGGACGGGTCTTTGTTTGCATCTGGTACCTGTGTTATGTGTTCGTTAAAGAACAACATCAGATTACATCATGGTCCTTTCATGATAACGTGACAAACTTTATCCCGACTTAAGACGCAACCTTTGCTTTCCGGCAGAAGGGTTTATGTTTGATAAGACTGCCTTCTTTTAAGAAGGGTTGGTTGCAGCCTTCACACCTAAACACTGTCGCAGAATGTTTGCTTCTGTGTTTCTGTAACGTCAAAACATTGTATGTCTGGAAGGAGCACAGACTGCAGCTGTGAATCCTCTGTGCTGTCTTTGATCCAAGGCAGGAATTCATGTGGTTCATTAGCTCCTTGACCGAGCCATATATTCCATGGGGGTTCTCACAACGGAAATGTCTTATAGGCACAGTAACAGTAGCTCTGTTACTCGGCTCTGTCTCCGTTACCCGCCGACTGGCTTTTCTATTTTGCTTCGAAGACAGACTAAACAGGACAAGACCCGGTGCAGGACAAAACTGCACATAGTCGCTATAGAAATATCATGTCCGACGATCATGTCGTCGGTTGGTGGCAGGGGTTGTGGCAGCCCCTGGTACAGATATACTTGAACATGAACACTCAAGTAAATCATTCAAGAATAATATTTTCGTTTATTAAGAATACTACTATGAAGCAATCATTGACAGAAAAACCACAGTGATTGATATTTAATCACGGCCATTGTGTGAAGGATTTGAGTATAGAATAGGTCTTCAACAACTTGTCAGTTACTGATTATCTGCCCAAAGGTAACTGACCGTGCTGAGCCTAACTGTGATGGGTTGCTAAGATAGAATTGGTTGCAAATTGTGTTTCAACATAATCCCCTCAGAAGTCCACACAACGACGCTGGTGTCATTCATCTGGCTTTCTCCTTTTCTTCAAAAGTCCACCATTACAGGAATGACGTCAACCTGTGGCTTGCAATACACTTCTTTCTTCACGTTCTGGAAGAGATCTGATTGCCAAACCTGATGAATATTGAGGATGCTTAATCAATTCAGGCCTCAGTCGTGCAGCTACTGCTAACTATTGTGACAGCAGACTAGTGAACATTTTCGTTGTCCTGTTGGTACACACCTGGGCTGAGGTTCCCACGATATAGTTCGTATGGTTGGTTCGATTGAGAGGAAGTCGGGTTCAAGCAACTGCTAAGCTTACAAAGTGATATAGGAGGTGTTAGATATTTTCAAAGCTTGGATTGTTGTTTAGTCTCTGATTGATAGTGATGAAACAATGACTCATCCATGGCTGTAATCAGTCCACTCCATCGCATCTTCCTACAAATATGGCGATGAAAAGAGTCGTGGTTCTAGCAATGTCAGGTGAGGTGAGGTGAAGTTGGGTTTTACGTCGTGCTTGAGAATATTTCGCTCATATGACGACGTGCATGCGTGTGCACGTGTATGTGCGGCTGCTTGTACTAGCCCAGACTTAAGCTGGTTTTATAGTGCTAGCCCACTGAGATACCATGCCGCAGTGAAGGATTAATACCCCACTCAGACACATTATACTGACTCCGAGCCGACCAGTCCTTGTTGTACCCATAAATGCCGAGCGTCAGGCAGGGACCAACAAGTACCATATTCTAACGTCTTTTGGTTTGACGCGGTCGGGGAACTAGCAATGTCATGGCTGAGCATACAAGAAATGGGCTTCACACCTTGAACCGTTAGTTCAATTTCTCCACTGTTGTTGCAACAATTTGAGAGAATAAGCCTTGGGCGTGGGCTCTTTTTCGATTACAGTCAGACTGTCAGGTCCTACAATATCCAATTGATTTGTTTGATGCCATGAACTATTGGTCAGTATAGCATATGTCCTCCCAAGATGCCCAATGTGATTACTGTCCAACATAAAGTTTCTAATATAATTTTAGAATAACCGTCGTGTTTCCTCTCTAGATGATTCCATCTGCATAAATGAGTGCTTACTGAAGTTCTTATCCTCAACTTCCACCAGTTAGCCAATGATCAGCTGTCCTGAAGTGTTCTAAACATCTGCTACATGTATATGTGAAAGTTGATACATGTCCCATATGTGTTTGTTTGATCAGCTCATTGTTCATTTTCACTTAACTTCTACCAGCTACCTGCTTACTCCCTGCAATTACTTTGTCGTTCAGGAGTGTAAAGTCTCGCTCTTGTAACACGTTTCCCACAGTTTATTCTGGGCAAAACGATTTCAATTTGTTATCAGCAAATCAGCATACTCGACCAAATGTTTGATTTCTGTCACAATCAGGTTAACTGTCTCATTTGAACGCTGTTCTCTTAGGTTGCATCCGAATCATTACTTTGACTGTGGAAATTAGTGGTGTTCGAGCTTTGTAAATAGTACATGTTAATGCCGTAACCTTTTGTAATGCTGAAGTACTGAATATGCTTCTCTCCTATGTGTAATTGGTCCCTCTTCAGTTTCTCACGAGCTTGTGGTTCTACAGTCTGATGTCATAAATCTGAATAAAAAACCGTTATGATATATTTTCATGTTTGTTGCCATTTGGCTCTCATCTGAGGTAGATACTAGTGTCCATGGAGCAGAACTATGCTTCAGGTTTGTATTTCCCTCTGACTCGATAATGATAAAAACCCTATACATCCGCCCTACGGACCATGTATTCAATTTCTTCCTGCCTGTGTCAGTGCTGGGATGAAGGTATAGGACAAGCGTAAATTAACAAATTTAACTATTAAAAGTCTTCTTTCTTGGCTTTCATTTAATAATGCTCTATCATGTGTTAAGAAAAACATTTTTTTAATGACGGTGGTGTCTAACTTTGTGACTTTAACATCTGATTGATCAATCTATGTTGATGGGCTGTGACGGCGCAAACCATTCGTAATCGTTTTTGAGAAACTGGACCAGAAGACCCTATATCGCCGTCGACGGCTCCAGTGGTTCAATAACGTTCGATTCCGGAATCTATACAACTGTTTATGGTTCAGTGATGAATCACGCTTTCTGCTCCAGTGTCGTGATGGAAGAGTACGTGTGTATCGATGTCGAAAAGAACGTTTCGTCCAGAATTGTGTCGCCCAGGTTGACCGATATGGCAGTGACAATGTCATGACGTCGGGAGCCTTCAGAACAATTTTACTGCTATTCGGGACAGAGACGAAATCTTAAGGATTCACATAGTTCCGGTCATTGACGGCCAGGGAGAGTTTTTCCAGCACGATAGTGCGGGGCCTCACACAGCCACTAATCAGTATCATCAGAATGTGAACATTACAGTGCTTCCATGGCTTTCCGAATCGCCCGACCTCAACAGTATCGAGCATTTGTGGGATGACCTCGGCCAACGCGTACGTGAACGTGAACTGGCGCTCCAGACGTTAGATCAACTGACCCAGGCATTGCAAGAAGAATGGGCCAGAATTCCACAAGGTCGAATTCACAGATTTATTCAATCCATGCCATGATGGTGCAGAGCAGTTGGGGAGGGGGATGCTCAGATAATGAAGACAACACAATACTGGGAACGGGCGCCTTCATTTATTGAGCGTTTTATAAGATACACCTGTTAACAGTCATTTGATCTTCTATACTGTGAAATCTGGGGGCAATTTATCGAGATTTACACATTAAAACTAGGATATTATATTTAACAACAAAACACTTATGCGTTTCTTTTTGGTGAGAGTATGGCTACAAGGGAGTACCCCACACAGGTAAAATAAAATTGGGTTACAAAAGAATAGTGCACTACAGTGAATGTTTTCTATCACACTGAACGCGAATCTATATAAACTACAGTCATTGTCCATGAACTTCACGGAACGTCAACTGTGATGGTGTTATACACGTGTTGAAGCAGGACTTTAAACAAGACTGTATAATGTATACCTCAATTTGTTATACACATACTCATTCAAATTGCAGTCAGTATATTTGAGCACAAAACATGTAAAATACAACCATAACGAAGATACTCGGACCATAGTTTATGCCCCAACTGTCCTGGAAAATTTCTAAGGTAGAATTGGTAGAAATTGAAATACCCTTCAAATTTTGCAGAGTAAAATAATGTATTCTATGCATTGGAATGTATATCTGAGCATTGATCTTTAGTTGCTGTGAACCGCTGAAGCCACATTTGTAGTTTCATCCTGTAAAAAGTCCTGTTGATTTCCTCTTGTGGATCGACTGATTCTAAAACAGAAACAAGTTCCACATGAGTGACCCTCAACTATTTCATCATGTAGAGCAAGAGTATTTCACCAGATGATCTTTTGTACAAATATATAAACACTTGACGATAAACGTTTACAATACCTCGATACACTTCGAAGTTTAAACTACAATTAGATACTAAGTGGGTACAAATGACTCCAGCATCGTATCGTGCAAAGCTTGCCTGCGATGTACCGGTGCATGAACAATGTCTTGAATGCAAACTGTACAGATCGCTGCATCTAATTGTGATGTCATCGTAACCGATTTCGTCACAATGGTCTGAAAAGCGATCAGATGTCGCTTGATAGTCCACCATTTGAACGATTGGAAAATACTGCCGTTGGTGAAATATTGTGGGACTTGTGCCATGGTTAATTGTGTTGCATATATCTATGAGCTATTTCTCTATTTCCTACTTTATAGTCATGACCCCTTTTAGTACTTAAATGAGGATACAAATTGAAATAGGAAAGTCATGCAACAAGAAGATTAGGAGTATATACGTACCATTTGATCGGGTACATGGATGATATAAGGCACAGAACAACTAATGTAATAAGACAACAAAGGTGAAGGGGCAAGGGAGCCAACCGATATATGATGATTCCATCCTCAACCAGTTGTCTCCCATCTATTCCAAAACCCCTTATGTAAAACCCACAAATACGATCCACAAGAACCCACCTAAAGCTAGAATACTAGTCACCTCCAGACTTAGAGGATCAGTGTTCTGAAACACCGCCCAGTGTCTCCTAGCTCATTTAGGCAAATATGGCAAGTCCAACATCGACTCCTTCTCTTCTTATGTTAACCCGCTGAAAGAAGCTAACCTCACAGGAAAATGGTCGGCTATGTCGTCATCGACCTATTCACGAACATAACTCTAAATGAAGCACTTGACATTTTCCGCAGCTGCCTACGACGACCTACACACCAGCTGGCACAGACAGCATCATCAAGGTCGTCTCAAGCTGCTTTGACACCTCATAGTATACGTTCAGTGACAAGACCTACAAACAAACCCTCAGACTCAAAGAAATCTTCATGATATCCTTTGAAGAATCAGCCCCACAGCACCATTCCAACCCCTCTGCTGGTACCGAACAGTAAAGGACGTATCCACCACCATAGCGCACCATTCCAACCCCTCTGCTGGTACCGAACAGTAAAGGACGTATCCACCACCATAGCGCACCATTCCAACCCCTCTGCTGGTACCGAACAGTAAAGGACGTATCCACCACCATAGCGCACCATTCCAACCCCTCTGCTGGTACCGAACAGTAAAGGACGTATTCACTCTGCACCATAGCGTATTCACCACCATTCCAACCCCTCTGCTGGTACCGAACAGTAAAGGACGTATTCACCACCATAGCGCACCATTCCAACCCTCTGCTGGTACCGAACAGTAAAGGACGTATTCACCACCATAGCGCGCACCATTCCAACCCCTCTGGCGCACCAGGACGTACCACCACCACCATGGCGCACCACCATAGGACCATTCAACCCCCTCTGCTGGTACCGAACAGTAAAGGACGTATTCACCACCATAGCGCACCATTCCAACCCCTCTGCTGGTACCGAACAGTAAAGGACGTATTCACCACCATAGCGCACCATTCCAACCCCTCTGCTGGTACCGAACAGTAAAGGACGTATTCACCACCATAGCGCACCATTCCAACCCCTCTGCTGGTACCGAACAGTAAAGGACGTATTCACCACCATAGCGCACCATTCCAACCCCTCTGCTGGTACCGAACAGTAAAGGACGTATTCACCACCATAGCGCACCATTCCAACCCCTCTGCTGGTACCGAACAGTAAAGGACGTATCTACCACCATTGCGCACCAGGATGACCCTGCAGAGCTCCTAAAACATCTCAACGCCCAGCGCCACAGATTCCCGTTCACCATGGAGACCGAAACCAATAAACACGTTCCCTTCCTAACCCTAAACACAGATGATGGACTAACATCTTCAGGGTATTACAAACCGTCATTCCCGAACACATCCTCAAGAATTCAGATCATGACATTACATGGGAAGCCACCACCTATCCACCGACAACTGGCGACAAAGGAAACTACAAGAAGTCATTGACGTCATGAGACACCAGCAAGCCGTGAACCGTGGCCAGTGAACATTATTACTTTGATTATTGTCTGTGGTAACGATATTTTTCATTTGTGCATCTCTGGAGTTCTAATAAATCTGTGCTAATACCATTTATGCAGGTAGCAAAGATACTGCAAGTCCCCATGGTCCCTAGTGTGGTGACCTACCTTCGGTTGCTGGCGATCTAAAGCCCGTTTTTTCATATTTTATTGTCCTAATTTGAAATACAGTTTTAGTGATAGATACTAGTTTTAGTACTTATAACTGTGATACACTCACTCACACACTCAGTCACTCACTCACTCTCTATTACCATTTGTCAATTACCGATGATTTTAGTCCCGGCTTGCAGCTGTCCATTGTCTAATTACTGTTTAGTGTTGGCTTCCATATGTCCTTTGCCAAGCACCCACGTCTTATTACTTTTATTGTTCTTACATATATGCTCTCTTCCTCACAACATTCATTCACTTCATAAAGGATTAAGTATGTACTCCGAAACTTTGAGTTCCCTATAATGAAGAAGTTGACATCCATAGAATTCTCTTCCTCATGTAGATCACTTATAAAGTTATTCAAAGACCTAACAGACAGATTGCAGGAGACAAAGGTATATGTTTTGATGGATGTGTAAGACATATGTTTTTAGTCTGAGGTGAAACAACAAACATTATGTAACGTCATAAGTCGAGAGATCGTTTACTTACAGAAAAGCCATTTCCCCTTGGACCACCGTCCAGTGGCCACACTGACATATCTGATCTGTGTTAATGATCGGTCTGTGCACGACAGGAAGGTACGTCTTCCGACCACTCTGCCAGCACCTACGGCAATGGTACCACCGCTGAAGCTTATCCAGAATGGCAGGTGCTTGCTTCCAGAAAGTGGAGTGTGGCGCACACTTGCACATGAACCACTGTGTCTGCCAGCACCTACGGCGAAAGTATCACCGATGAAGCTTCTCCGGAATAGCAGGTGCTTGCTTCCAAAAAGTGCACCTCCACGACTTGGTCCTTGACTCCTTCTCCGGGATGGCAGGTGCTTCCTTCCAAAAATGCACCTCCACGACTTGGTCCTTGTTTCCTTCTCCGGGATGGCAGGTGCTTGCTTCCAAAAAATGCACCTCCACGACTTGGTCCTTGTTTCCTTCTCCGGGATGGCAGGTGCTTGCTTCCAAAAAATGCACCTCCACGACTTGGTCCTTGTTTCCTTCTCCGGGATGGCAGGTGCTTGCTTCCAAAAATGCAACGACTTGGTCCTTGTTTCCTTCTCCGGGATGGCAGGTGCTTGCTTCCAAAATGCACCTCCACGACTTGGTCCTTGTTTTCTTCTCCGGGATGGCAGGTGCTTGCTTCCAAAAAGTGCACCTCCACGACTTGGTCCTTGTTTCCTTCTCCGGGATGGCAGGTGCTTGCTTCCAAAAATGCACCTCCACGACTTGGTCCTTGTTTCCTTCTCCGGGATGGCAGGTGCTTGCTTCCAAAAATGCACCTCCACGACTTGGTCCTTGTTTCCTTCTCCGGGATGGCAGGTGCTTGCTTCCAAAAAATGCACCTCCACGACTTGGTCCTTGTTTCCTTCTCCGGGATGGCAGGTGCTTGCTTCCAAAAAATGCACCTCCACGACTTGGTCCTTGTTTCCTTCTCCGGGATGGCAGGTGCTTCCTTCCAAAATGTGCACCTCCACGACTTGGTCCTTGACTCCTGTCTCTGATGACGGACTTGGTGTTTCCCCAGCCTCCAATGACGATTTCGAACATGCTATGATCGTAGTTGTCTCTGTTGCTGAGCAACGCGATATAAGCCTCACTGGTAGATTCTACCCAGAAAGTAAAGGCTGTTTCTCCATTGAGGTGAAAACCGAGATCATCGAGGGAATGGTAGCGGTAGTCGTCGCCCGTTTCCAGACAAACTAGTGGAAGGGTGCGCTCTGTAACATGAATATAACACGGTCAGTTATGATGCTGCACTTGTATTGTACAGAAAACAAGTTCTGGTCAATGGTGATCATGGTTTGACTGTACTTGCAAATACAAACATGTCTGTCTCATGTCCGGTAGTTGATACAAGGCAAGAACAGATAATATAAGTTTAGACGAAAACAAATTCAAAAATATCAAATATAAGAACGCATTTTGTGGTTTAATCTGTTCTCCACATGCCAAACTACCCAGCCGTGCACGAGTAGTCCTGTTGAGTGCTCGAACTTTCTAGCTCTTCATCGACATGTATTGTGTAAGGTTCAAAGTCAGCGACTGTCACGCTGTGAATGTACTAAAGAAAGCAATAAAAAAAACGCAACTTACTCACACGGTACCTACGAGTCAGTCTAAGTATCTAAGTAAACTTAGGCTCAGTATTATTCGTTATGTACACTGCTATACTGAGTCACACAAACCCCAGTAGAAAGTCGCTCAGCTAACTTTTTGGATTGACAATCAGAACACAGCTTACCAAATCGCGAAAGTTAACATTCGCACATACCGTGTGAACCCTTACCTCGAAAACCCGAATGATTCCGAATGGATGTCAGGATGTCATCTTGCGTAAAGATACGCTAATAGTGACATTAACCATGTCATCAGAAAACCCTAAGCGTATATGCTGCAGGTCAAAGATCAGTGTCTCATGCGGATTTTCGTTTGTTGAGAGATCAGTGTCATCGACCGGGAAAGAGAAAATCCAAAAACCATTTTGTAAGTACCCTAACAAGCAGCCGTTGGTTAAATCCGTTCGGTCGTCTCGCGTTTGATTGGACGGTCATAGGTCGCTCAAAGCTTAGCTGACGCGACCTTCTACTAGTTCTGTTAGATTCAGTGTAGCAGTGTAAAGAATAATACTGAGCCTAAGTTTACTTAGACTGCCTACGAGGTTACTGATTTTTGCAACGCTAAGCCATTTACCAAACTTCCACAGACCCGTTGCTCCACATCCTGTAGACACAGCGATGTACCTGACGGGATGAGGGGAAGGGTCTCTCCATGACATGAACCTCCCAACGCCAACAGCCGTCCCAGTTCCAACAGAGATCACGCCATCCTCCCAAGAAATCCAGAAGTCACGGAACTCGGTTGCGTTCAGTGGTCGATGGCGAGTTGTCACCCTGTTGTCGTGCTGCCTGCCTGTTCTGATCACTGATTGGGTGTTTCTCCATCCACCAATCACAATCTCGTATGTGTTCCAATAGGTTAATCCATCTTTCTGTAGCAGGGCCACGTGAACATTGTGTGGCGCGCGGACCTTGGAGAAAACAACTGACCGTTACTACCTATAATCTATACAATATCTCACCGTTAAAAAATGACATTAAGGAGGTTATAATTACTAGCCCTTTACAAACAAACTGTATTCATCCATGTGGATATACCCACTGGGCAGGATGATGACTTTATTCCTGTTTAGCTGGGAATCACATTTGGTTTGTTTAGTTTGTTCGTTTGTTGTTGAACACCGCACTCAGCAATATTCCAGCTATATGGCGGCGGTCTGTAAATAGTCGAGTCTCGACCAGACAATCCAGTAAACATCAGCGCCACTTTCTTAATGTCATTGTGTAAGCACAGCGTGAACATCGATCTACGTAACTGGGACAGGATGACATGTGTCAACCAAGTCAGCGAGCCTGACCACCCGATACAGCAACTCGGTCTTTGGCGATTTGATAAAACCTAACAAATGCATCCCCACGGGAAGCTTGTGCATATGCCCCCTACACACATCAGAGATATGGGCAAAAGCTTTTGATATTTGTGAGACCTTGAAAATACGATACATCCGTTGATGTGTGCATAATTGGCCGTTTTTCGATCATGTCACCGTATTTCTGTGATGAACCTTTACACGTTATATAGCAGGGGGGCTGGATAGTAAACCAGGGCTTAGTTTATCGATATTCTGACCCGCAGTGGGGAGCCTGTGGCTGTAATGTCTGCCATCGCATCATTTCGGAGTTTTCTGACCAGAATTCTACGTTTTTCAAGGCGCCATGTAGCCATGTTCTTTGCTAAAAACAGCACACAAGAAGAAAAAGGTTCACCTTAAACGTGAAGGATGTGGCTTCAGGAGCCAAATCCACACCCAGACTGTGAAGAGACTGATATTTGTAAACTGTGTTCGTCGTGAGTGAGACATCCAAAGGCGGAGCTGAAAATGTTGGACAAATTTACATTTTGTACTCCAAGATAAACCATATACATATATTGTAACTGATGTTTCCCGTTGGACATTTGTTCCGTAACTGAACGTTGTAAATCTCACATGCTTGGTTTATATCAGAGTGAAACAGATTGAAGTTTGAGAAACTGCAGTTATGTATTTCTTGTCATACACACAGACGCCGCTGTTTACTAGTTACAGTAAAGCGAAGCGACTTACCAAACCGCCACAAACCCGTTGCCCTCCATCCAGTAGACACAGCGATGTACCTGACGGGGTGAGGGGAGGGGTCTCTCCACGACATGAACCTCCCAGCCCCAACAGCCGTGCCAGTTCCAACAGAGATCACACCGTTACCCCAAGAAATCCAGAAATCACGGAACCGAGTTGCACTCAGAGGTCGGTGGCGAGCTGTCACCCTATTGGCGTTCTTCATGCCTGTTCTGATCACTGATCGGGTGTTTCTCCATCCGCCAATCACAATCTCGTATATGTTCCGATTGGTTACTCCATCATCCTGTAGCAGGGCCACGTGAGCATCGTTTGACGCGCGGACCTTGGAGAAGACAACTCAGCACATCAACTCGGACTTCACCTAACAAGCTTTATTCACCACTCTTCTAATAATTACTGCGCACAAAATAATAATGTGACTTTCCGTTTGTACAAATTACTGATTATTTATAAGAACGCATGAAATCAGCCCTGATGTACCTGGAATTTGAATGACGTGGCGCTTGGAGTCACATCCACGCCCTGTTGGTGAAGGGACTGGTAGCTGTACTTTGTGGTAGTCGCAAGTTCCACGTAGGCTGAACCACAAGCAGTAAGTCAAAAGAATCCCAGGTGCATAAGGTACAAGTTTAGTCCATGTGTAAATTTCACACATTTCCTCTGGAGTGAGATTTAGAGTCACATCGGCAATATTGCAGCCATCGTGACTATAACAATATATACATAATAATAGTGTTTTTGAGAAATCTGTCAACAAAGGACAGTAAAACAATTAGGTTATCACAGATAAAAAGTTAAAACTAGCATGTAAGCATTAAACCATTTATTACAATACAGGACAATGCACTATAAGAACCGGGCTATCGGTCACCAACAACTGAAGGTAGATCATTTCCTCTGGAAGATTTATTGTATGTTATGATTAAATGTTGCTTTTGACAGTACTGGCATCTTGCAGCAAAGACAACGTGGACGTTTCATTGAATTTAAAAAGTTTACAATATGAGAATAAATTTCAGTCGATGTTTTATCACTGAAAAGTACAGCAGCACACTGACTCTTGTTTCACGTGAACGTCATGAAACACGCGTTCACGGAATTGGCATGTGGGCACACATTGTGAATAGATCATGTCGTCTCCTAAATACTATAACCCTAAAATATATGGATTATACCAGGATTCGTTAATTGGCACATTTTGACAAACTGAACAGTGAAATATCCTTTTAATTTTTCCGTATAGAGTATAGATTATCCCTTGGAAGGATGCCTTACTAGCCTGTTAGTAATGTTACCCCTTGACAGAAGGTGGGACTTACGTCTTAGTACTGTTACCACGACTATAAGGTATGCATTACCCTCTAAAATAAGGTGGTACTGACGTCTTAGTACTGATACCACGACTATAAGGTATGCATTACCCTCTAAAAGAAGGTGGTACTGACGTTTTAGTATTGATACCACGACTATAAGGTATGCATTACCCTCTAAAATGTGGTACTGACGTCTTAGTACTGATACCACGACTATAAGGTATGCATTACCCTCTAAAATAAGGTGGTACTGACGTCTTAGTACTGATACCACGACTATAAGGTATGCATTACCCTCTAAAAGAAGGTGGTACTGACGTTTAGTATTGATACCACGACTATAAGGTATGCATTACCCTCTAAAATAAGGTGGTACTGACGTCTTAGTACTGACACCACGACTATAAGGTATGCATTACCCTCTAAAAGAAGGTGGTACTGAAGTCTTAGTACTGTTACCTCAAGCATAAGGTATGTATTACCCCCTGACTGGCATCTTAGTTATGTTACCACGACCATAAGATATGTATTATCTTTAAAAGAAGGTGGCACTGACGTCTAAGTAATGTTACAACGACCAGAAGATATGAATTACCCTCTGACAGAAGGTGGTACTGACATCTTAGTAATATTACCACGAACACAAGGTATGCAATACCATCTGCCAGAAGGAAGTACTGACGTCTTAGTAATGTTACCACGACCATAAGGTATGTATTACCCCTGACAGAAAGTGGTACTGAACTGTTCGTAATACTACCACGAACATAAAGCAGTACTCACATATTAGTAATGTAATCTCTTTTTGAATTATACATTGGGGGATTGTGTCAATATTAAGGATTATTATCAGTGACAAATGTGATTTGATTAATCAAAAGAGCTCGTAGTTTCAACGGCTATGTGTTAAATCGAAAACAAACGTTAATTATCCTAATAGTATACTAAACTTGTCCATTATTGGTTGTCCATGGCCTATATTAAATACAGGAGAATCCCTGTGGGTAACATGGGTTACCCTAAATACTCACGCGGGCACCCGTCGGCCCCAGATGACAGCAGCACAGCAGCCACCAGCGTTGTCAACAGCTGCATCTTCCTCATCTTCCCTAGTTCTACAACAAGTACATGTTGTTGAGTGTCATGATCACTCATCTTCCCTAGTTCTACAACAAGTACATGTTGTTGAGTGTCACGATCACCCATCTTCCCTAGTTCTACAACAAGTACATGTTGTTGAGTGTCACGATCACCCATCTTCCCTAGTTCTACAACAAGTACATGTTGTTGAGTGTCACGATCACTCATCTTCCCTAGTTCTACAACAAGTACGTGTTGTTGAGTGTCATGATCACTCATCTTCCCTAGTTCTACAACAAGTACATGTTGTTGAGTGTGATCACTCATCTTCCCTGTTCTACAACAACAAGTACATGTTGTTGAGTGTCATGATCACTCATCTAGTCCCTAGTTCTACAACAAGTAACATGTTGTTGAGTGTCACGATCACTCATCTTCCCTAGTTCTACAACAACATGTTGTTGAGTGTCACGATCACTCATCTTCCCTAGTTCTACAACAAGTACATGTTGTTGAGTGTCATGATCACTCATCTTCCTAGTTCTACAACAAGTCCATGTTGTTGAGTGTCACTCATCTTCCCTAGTTCAACAAACAAGTTCAGTCCATGTTGTTGAGTGTCACGACATCTTCCCTAGTTCTACAACAAGTACATGTTGTTGAGTGTCACGATCACTCATCTTCCCTAGTTCTACAACAAGTACATGTTGTTGAGTGTCACGATCACTCATCTTCCCTAGTTCTACAACAAGTACATGTTGTTGAGTGTCACGATCACTCATCTTCCCTAGTTCTACAACAAGTACATGTTGTTGAGTGTCACGATCACTCATCTTCCCTAGTTCTACAACAAGTACATGTTGTTGAGTGTCACGATCACTCATCTTCCCTAGTTCTACAACAAGTACATGTTGTTGAGTGTCACGATCACTCATCTTCCCTAGTTCTACAACAAGTACATGTTGTTGAGTGTCACGATCACTCATCTTCCCTAGTTCTACAACAAGTCCATGTTGTTGAGTGTCACGATCACTCATCTTCCCTAGTTCTACAACAAGTACATGTTGTTGAGTGTCACGATCACTCATCTTCCCTAGTTCTACAACAAGTACATGTTGTTGAGTGTCACGATCACTCATCTTCCCTAGTTCTACAACAAGTACATGTGTTGTTGAGTGTCACGATCACTCATCTTCCCTAGTTCTCACGATCACTCATCTTCCCTAGTTCTACAACAAGTACATGTTGTTGAGTGTCACGATCACTCATCTTCCCTAGTTCTACAACAAGTACATGTTGTTGAGTGTCACGATCACTCATCTTCCCTAGTTCTACAACAAGTACGTGTTGTTGAGTGTCACGATCACTCATCTTCCCTAGTTCTACAACAAGTACATGTTGTTGAGTGTCACGATCACTCATCTTCCCTAGTTCTACAACAAGTACATGTTGTTGAGTGTCATGATCACTCATCTTCCCTAGTTCTACAACCTAGTTCTACAACAACAAGTACATGTTGTTGAGTGTCACGATCACTCATCTTCCCTAGTTCTACAACAAGTACATGTTGTTGAGTGTCATGATCACTCATCTTCCCTAGTTCTACAACAAGTCCATGTTGTTGAGTGTCATGATCACTCATCTTCCCTAGTTCTACAACAAGTACATGTTGTTGAGTGTCACGATCACTCATCTTCCCTAGTTCTACAACAAGTACATGTTGTTGAGTGTCACGATCACTCATCTTCCCTAGTTCTACAACAAGTACGTGTTGTTGAGTGTCACGATCACTCATCTTCCCTAGTTCTACAACATCTTCCCTAGTACATGTTGTTGAGTGTCACGATCACTCATCTTCCCTAGTTCTACAACAAGTACATGTTGTTGAGTGTCACGATCACTCATCTTCCCTAGTTCTACAACAAGTACATGTTGTTGAGTGTCATGATCACTCATCTTCCCTAGTTCTACAACAAGTACATGTTGTTGAGTGTCATGATCACTCATCTTCCCTAGTTCTACAACAAGTCCATGTTGTTGAGTGTCATGATCACTCATCTTCCCTAGTTCTACAACAAGTCCATGTTGTTGAGTGTCATGATCACTCATCTTCCCTAGTTCTACAACAAGTACATGTTGTTGAGTGTCACGATCACTCATCTTCCCTAGTTCTACAACAAGTACATGTTGTTGAGTGTCACGATCACTCATCTTCCCTAGTTCTACAACAAGTACGTGTTGTTGAGTGTCACGATCACTCATCTTCCCTAGTTCTACAACAAGTACACGATGTTGTTGAGTGTCATGATCACTCATCTTCCCTAGTTCTACAACAAGTACATGTTGTTGAGTGTCACGATCACTCATCTTCCCTAGTTCTACAACACGATCACTCATCTTCCCTAGTTCTACAACAAGTACATGTTGTTGAGTGTCATGATCACGATCATCTTCCCTAGTTCTGTACGTGTTGTTGAGTGTCACGATCACTCATCTTCCCTAGTTCTACAACAAGTACATGTTGTTGAGTGTCACGATCACTCATCTTCCCTAGTTCTACAACAAGTACATGTTGTTGAGTGTCACGATCACTCATCTTCCCTAGTTCTACAACAAGTACATGTTGTCTAGTTCTACAACAAGTACATGTTGTTGAGTGTCATGATCACTGAGATGATGAAGTACAGACAGACAGATTAATTTCAGTAACAGGTCATGAGTTTGGTGTCAAATCTAGTTTGTTGGGATGTCAAATATCGTCACTCGCGTGAAATCTGATATTTGCTATCCTCCTGAAGGAGCAGTGACACCCCATACTATATAGAAACCGTTAACGCAAATGAAGGTTATTTCGATGTTTCATATCATATTTGTACATGCAGGTTATATTCAGGTTGTATTCAGGTTGTATTCAGGTTATATTCAGTTTTGTATTGAGGGCGCACTACGTTTATTCCTGACCTCATTAGTACATGAAGTGTAACGAGTCCCAAACACTTGAATAAACACAATAGCCAATGGTAACTAACGGCACCATTAATTTCAGTTCGTTATATTCAATTCCACTTTGATCAAATAATGTGAGCACGTTATAAGACTCGATAGCAAACAAAATTGGGCAATGTTCCATATTCACAATATTTTCCGTTAATGTTCGTAAAAAAATGGTCGTGATATCTTAAGCGTGGGCATTTTCAAGTACAAACGTAACTACGTCACACATATTTATTGATAACTGAAAACAATTACTAATTACTAATGACAACAATGGTATGATGTACACGTTTTCAGAGATCGACCAGTGTGTGTGTGTGTGTGTGTGTGCGCGTGTGCGTGTATGTGTGTGCGTGTGTGCGCGTGTGCGTGCGTGCGTGCGTGCGTGCGTGCGTGCGCGCGCACACAGTAAGTGTATCATCCAACTCTTTAAAGCGCATGTGACACACCGAGGGGACCGGTTGTGCCTTTCATGTCATCTGTTGTAACGTAAGCTGACGTGCAAGTGCTTAAATAATAATGTCAATACAGGACACAAGGGTTGCGAACTCAAAGGGATTACTAATTTCGTTATAAAAAGGCAACTCGTTATATGCATTTCGACTGTCGAATTTCGTCATACAGGTGATGTGACCACGTTATGTGGCTCGATAAATTATAATTCATATACTAAAATGTGCACTTTTCCATATTTACAATATTTAAGTTAGAAAATGGTGCTCTTTATAAAGACCCTTTCACGATTAAAATAATCCGAATAACGATATTCTAAAGTGCAAACGTAACTGGATCACATTCATTCTTTGACAAGTGAACACCATCAATCAATAATAATGATATGAGTGAGTGAATGAGTTAATATTTAACGTCACAATAATGATATGAAGATCCCCTTTTCAGAGATTGTTCAGCCTTATAACTGTATGCACAAAAAGACTTTTCAGTTGCGCTGAGAGCGCCTGTAAACAGGTATGTAACACAAACAGTGCTCGGTAGAATATGTTTTGTTTATATAGTCAACAAAATAAGTCAAGGGTCACCCCAAGTTTGATTGTTTAAGTACTTAACAGCTCATATCATGATCCATATAATACTTAAATATTGAATATTGGGGTGGTCCTTAACTTTTTGTGCTGAGTATACATACATCGCATTCATGATGCCTCATCACGAAAGCATATCATTTCTCAGCACATTAAAACATGTAGTACAATTGTACAAGGTTACAGTTATATTAACAGACGCTTTCGTGTATATTTTAAAATTTCGATTGTACTTACTAATATGATGTTTGCTGCATACCTGTACGTGGTTCCACGTGTTCGCTGTGAAGACGGCGACAGCTGAATGTTTCATCTGTCACATTGCTGTGACATATATACAGTGACCACCCGGATCTATGATGTGACAAACGAGCTCTTTAACCTGCCGGAACACGAACCTCCTGAAACACGACACTCTGTGTATCAAACATGCGTGGTTGTCAGTGCCAATCAATCTGAATGTTCGTGTGATATATTGCTTTCAGGTTCCAAATTCTATGAAATTGCCACTATCCTCTGAAATTTAAAACCACTTCAAGCACGTTAATGTCAGTCTGTTGTGTAACCGATTATATATTTTGCATTGATGGACGTCACGTATGCACATTTACATGTAATAGAACTGTTTGTATTTTTTACACTCAAGTCAATAATTTCGATTTTGTTGGAAAACATGTAACGCCAGATGGGCTCTGAACTCTTCCTAAAACTGACAGCAATGGATTGTTTTACTTTGTACCAGACATAACCTTGTGGAAATAATAATTAAATTGTTTTTAGCGCAGTAAATCCTACGTATAATACCAACATTATTTTACACGTGATGATGTTCATATTAAGGAAAATATTTTGTGAAATATAGATCAAACAAAAGTAAGGAAAAAACCAAACCAGAAGACGTATAATATGTTCTCATACTTATTTAATCGCATGTATACTTGATTGTCAGCTTGCAATACTACTGGAATTTTCAACTCGATCACCTACACATGTGTTTATAAAACTATCTAACGTATATCTAATCTACTCATATATTAACTCGTATGCCCTTTCGTATGTCTGTTCTCGTATGTATGTCTACATGCAACACCCTTATATCTACTCTGCACATACCAGCTCGAATGTCTTCTAGAAACTGTCCGGGAGTGTCTGCTCCTATGTCTACAGGAATTTTCTTTTCCTTTGCTCGTCCATTCAAAAGTCTAACGTAATACTAGGCATGATCAATAAAGGATCAAATGATATGTAGCACACGTAAGGAAAAGTGTCTCAGACATAATAGAAGTGAGAATGTCACCATAATGTTTAATGTGTTTACAAACGTGACACATCGTGACATACAGACAACACGTCCACTAGCAAACATTAGTTGTATAGACCAACCGCTCCAAACATTAGTTGTATAGACCAACCGCTCCAAACATTAGTTGTATAGACCAACCGCTCCAAACATTAGTTGTATAGACCAACCGCTCCAAACATTAGTTGTATAGACCAACCGCTCCAAACATTAGTTGTAGACCAGCCACTCCAAACATGAGTTGTATAGACCAACCGCTCCAAACATTAGTTGTAGACCAACCACTCCAAACATTAGTTGTAGACCAACCGCTCCAAACATTAGTTGTATAGACCAACCGCTCCAAACATTAGTTGTATAGACCAACCGCTCCAAACATTAGTTGTATAGACCAACCGCTCCAAACATTAGTTGTATAGACCAACCGCTCCAAACATTAGTTGTATAGACCAACCAAACATTAGTATGTATAGCTCCAAACATTAGTTGTATAGACCAACCGCTCCAAACATTAGTTGTATAGACCAACCGCTCCAAACATTAGTTGTAGACCAACCACTCCAAACATTAGTTGTATAGACCACTCCAAACATTAGTTGTATAGACCAACCGCTCCAAACATTAGTTGTAGACCAACCACTCCAAACATTAGTTGTATAGACCAACCGCTCCAAACATTAGTTGTATAGACCAACCGCTCCAAACATTAGTTGTATAGACCAACCGCTCAAACAGTTGTATAGACCAACCGCTCCAAAGTTATAGACCAACAATCCAAACATTAGTTATATAGACCAACCGCTCCAGACATTAGTTGTATAGACCAACCGCTCCAGACATTGGTTGTATAGACCAACCAACCGCTCCAAACATTAGTTGTATAGACCAACCGCTCCAAACATTAGTTGTATAGACCAACCGCTACAAACATTAGTTGTATAGACCAACCGCTCCAAACATTAGTTGTATAGACCATCCAGCCGGATCCCACGAATATTCGTAACTTTATCTTACGTGTATCGTAATCGAATCGTAGAGCGTCACGAATTGAACCAGAAAAAATGCACAATTCCACGAATCCTCACATTTATCAATTCGTGGTGATTCGTGGGATTCGTGGTCTGTGTAGAAGTTAGGTAGACAAGGAAGGGCGGTTAAACACGAATGTGACACGATTGGTATAAAAGGAGGTAATATTTATATTTCGTTACTTTGTCCAGTGACTCCATCAAGACAACATGGATACATGTAATGTAGATGAAGATAACGTATTTGCTTATTCACTTCATGTCTATATCCAGGCACTTGAAAGGGAGCAACAGCAGACACAGGGAAGAAAGGAAAAGAGAAAAGAGGTAGAAAGTGGTGGGTGAGACCATGGATGACTAAAGACAGAAGGAGAGAGTTTGGACGATATCATCAACTTCTTAACAGTGAGCTTAGACCTGAAGACCCTGCCTCAGTCAGCAACTATCAACTCCTATATTCTGCAATGAAACTGACGATAAAATAGTGTGATACGGCTTGCAGTTGGATCACAGTGAATTTCGTCTGGCAGCGTGGCACAATTTATTTGAAAGCACACCAAAGGCACCAGAACGTGTCGCAGCACTAGGGAACGTAATAGATCGTGATAGATTGTGATAGATCGTGAACGTTAATCGTAGAACAGCGTGTTAAAAAGTAGGAATGGATAACAGGAATGTATTGAATGGTATTAGATCGAGATATAATGTGTACAACGTGAAACAGCGCAGGAGATCTAAATATGATCTTAATAGTTCGTAATAGATCTTTATGGGATCGCAATATATATGTTACAGGGAATGTGTGAAACCAGGGATTTCACGTAATCCCTGAAAGAGTCAGTGATTTCATGAAATCCCTGTGACCCCCAGAGATTTCATGTATTCCCTAAAATTTCTAGGGATTTCATGAAATTACTGAAATATTAGCTCAGGGATTTCAGAAATCCCTGTAAACCCTTATTGAAATAGAGAACACCAAATTTATAATGCGAGTACAGAGTATATCCTGATAAAATTCATTTGTTGGGACAAGATAGCCTGTTATCATACAAGCTATTACACTTCAGTAGCACATTAAAACATTTACAAGGTATCGATTTACACTGGTTAGGACAACGGTTGCATTTCTGGAAACCCTGACCACCACAATTCGACTCGAAAATCACAGCTGTGTGGAGAAACAGTCCATGGTCACATTATTCGTAGAAAGAAGACGCTGAGGACATACATGAAATATGTGCTTTGAAAAATACCTTTTCCTTCCCAAACCCATATCCCAAAGCTCTTCTTCAACAGCGGGATGATGTATATTCAAGTTATTTCTATGAATGGCCTAGTCTGTTTAAACTTAAACGTCTATTTTCAAAAAAGAAAACGAATGATGCTATAACACTGTAAAATGTTGAGCCATTCCGTAAGGAATTATGAGAGACATTTGTGCCACAATATACAGAGTATAATATATGAATATTAAAAATGCAATAATAAGGGTACAAGTTACATAAAGAAGATATATACACATTTGCAGTACGTTGTTATAAGAATATTAAGGCAGGTTTTGACAGATAAAAACGATCCACCTGGACAAGCTAGAAGAAAACTAACTTTTTCAACACACCCAGATTTTTTTAAAAAACGTCTAAAAGACTTGTGCATTTAGATAAAAGTTGCAATCGCTCATCAGCATACAAGGGACAATGAAATAAAACATGACACTCATCTTCAATAAAATCTTTACAGTTTCGAATCTAAGCGGCGCTACCGCACATCTAAACAAATCTAGTGCTTTTCTCATAGAGCGAGACATTACAATTAACATAAACATCACTGCAAAATCCAACTTTAAAGTACAGTACGTGTGTAACTTATTACCTCCCCTACCAGTTAAACTACCAACTTGTAAAAGGTGCTGTTTCCATTTATAAACGAAATCGCTAAAAACAACCTCTGTAACTTTTGCAACTACAAAAGGAATATTGATACACAACGTTTGAATCGTTATATCAGCACTCAACGACAAATTATTAATCATAACAATTAGATACACTAGTGTAATGTCGCGATAAGACATTGGGTCTCTCGGGTTGTCAGGTCCAGACTTAGGGGTAGGGGTAGTCTGTCTCACAGTCCCTGAACCACATTGATTTCCCTACTGCCAAGCCCTATCTGCAGTGCTAAAGCCCTAAATAAAGCAAGTCTAGATTTCCTCAGGTTCTGAATTTCTGGTCCCCCTAGGGCTCCTTTTCAATATAAATGGGCTTGTTTTTTATTATCAAAATTATATATATTCAGAGAGTAAGCCTTAGTCTAGGGTAGGGGTAATGATCCCCTGGGCCCAGTTGGAGGGTACATGGCCAGTCTCATAACATGTAGAAAACAGTTTATGAAGATAACCTACACAGATGTCATTTGTTAAAACATCAACTAGAATATTATCGGTGATTTCCCTCTCTTAGCTTGACTTAGTGTCATCAGTAAATAGTCCGTTTTTAACTCCTAAGACCTAAGGGATGAAATGAGACTCAACAGTAAAGTTTAAGCTACAAACATTAACTTCACACATTCACTGATATCCTTACAGGCAATGTGTGTAATGGAACACCATGAAAATCAGTAATTTCATGAAATCCCTTGAAATTTTAGGGAATACCGGTACATGAAATCCCTGGGGGTCAAAATGATTTAACGAAATCACTGAATCTTTCAGGGATTACGTGAAATCCCTGGCTTCACACATTCCCTGTAACATATATTGGTAGAATCGTGGGACAATGGGAACTAACATCTAATACTCGTTATTACAAAGTACTACGATCATTCCGACACGCCCCATTGCGCTTTTTCTTCACTACAATCACCAGTGGCTGAAGGGATGGTGTAAATCCAGCTAGGGTCCATGCAGGTAGCAAAAGTAATGTAAGTCCCCATGGTCCCTAGCATGGTGATCAGCCTTCAGTTGCTGGCGATATATAGCCCATTTTTACATTGTATTGTACAAAAATAGTTT